GACAAGGTAGGGTCATAGGAAACAAAGGTGAGGTGAAAGATTCTGCCCTCACAGGCCTGCTGTAAAGGATTATTCCAGTGCAGGCACCATTGCATGATTCTCTTTTGTGAGTGTGTAAATAATAACAATACTAATAATATACATTAAAAAGTATCTGTGGGGCTGGCATGATGACTCAACAGACCAAGCTTCCAGCTGCAGCAACAGCATCCATATAGGCAGCAGTTTGTGTCCTGGCTGGTTTACTTCCCATTAGTCTCCATACTTGTGGTCTGGAAGGCAGCAGACGATGGCTCAAAGCCTTGGGACCCTGTATCCATGTAGGATCCCTGTGGGAGATTCCTGGCTCCTGGCTTCGAATCAGCTTAACTCTGGCTGTTGTTGCCATTTGGGGGAGTGAACCAGTAGGTGGAGGATTTTTTTCTCTCTCTGCCTCTCCTTCCTTCAGTAAATCTTCAAGTAAAAATAAATCTTTTTTAAAAAAGTATTTGCTATGCCCCTCCCTTAAAAAAAAAAAGACCGTGGAATATGGGAAGATGGTTATGGTACCCACACAATCATTATCATCTCAGTCCTGAAAGAGCAGGTGACGCCATCGCGGCTGCTCAGTAATGTCCATTCCCATCCAGTCCTCCAGCTCTTTCCCTTTGTGCCTTCTTTAAATTCCCTTAAGAAATTAAAAAAAAAAAATCCTGAGTCTTTCCTGTTGTTCCTGACTTTTTATGCAAACAATGATGAACGCTATGAAGTCAGCATTCCAAGGGCTTGCAGTTCAAGCTCTCCGCTGCTTGCCCAGCCTCCTCCATTCACCCATCCACGCAGCAGCTGGGCCCTTCACACATCCTTTTCTCTCCTCACTTGACAGAGTTCCTGATCTGCATGGCTGCTGTAACGTGATATCAAAGCACATCATCTTTCAGTTCTGGAAGCCACAAGTCCAGAATGGAGGCTCCCTGGGACAAAAGTCAGGCATCCAGGGGACTCCGTTCCTTTCATTCACTTCTTTGAGTTTCAGTCAAAATTTAGCTTCTCATTTTGTATCAAAGCACGTTGCTCCTCTTCCTGACATAGCTCTATTAAAGAAAATGGGAATAAAATCCTGCACTGTTTCAGTCTCAGCCAACAGAGCACATACTGGCTGTTTCCTGTCTACACACCTTATCTTAAGTGATGTGGGCAAGCATTTGGAGGTCCAAAGGCTTCACAGCCCATGACTAACACATGAGGGTCTTGAGCTGAGTGAGGTTCCTGGTCCAAGTGCAGGTGTTCTGTCTCTGGAGAGAGGCCAAGTGTAATTCTTCAGAGCAAACCAACAGACACTGTGGGCATTCACTTCTCAAAATGCAGATCTGGCTAAGCTACAACGGAGTTGTCTGGGATGTAAGAAATGCAAAAGTGGAGACAAATATCTTGCCTAGCGGGTAAGATGCCCGAGTCTCGTTCCCATGTTGTCAGAGTGCCTGGCTTCGGCGGAGTTCCGATTCCCAACTCCAGGCCCTGGCCACAAAGGGCATTTGAGGAGTGACTTAGAGGAAAGTACTCTCTCTGCTTCTTTGTCTCTCCTCTTACCAAATAAAGGGGAACAATTTTAAAGAAAGTTTTTTTTTTTTTAAGGTGCCCTCCTACCTTCATACTTTACCTTTCAAATAAATAAGGGAAAAAAAGATAGTCTCATGTCTTCTTCAAACTTTCTCTTTCTGCTGATAAAGATGCAAGGTGCCCTGTGGGAGGCCTCACATGGTAAAGAAGGTGGCAGGGCAGTGGGAGGTGGGGGAAGGCCTCTGGTTCACAGCCAACAAGGAACTAGATCCTGCCAATCACAATGAACTTGGAAGTGCATCTTTCCCCAGTTGAGCCTTGAGAAAATCTAAGAAACCCTGCAGTTAAGGGACCTAGTTGGAGTCTCGGGGGGAGGGGGACTTCTGATCCGTGGAACTCTGCTTTTAATCTTGGTATGGTGGAGTAATTTGTTAGTGCACAATAGACCTTGGTTACAAAGGAATAACCATAATCTGCAGATCCAGGACTCCAACCTTGAAATCTGAGAAGTCATCTAAGCTCTCTCGAAGTCAAAGGGACTGCCAGACACGTGGCTAGACACACCCCCTGTCAGAGTTCACATGTGCAAAGTGCTTCCCGAGTCTAAGATGATTAGGGAGGCTGAAGACAGTGGGAGAATGGAAAGTTCGAACCAGCTGCCTACCTGCCCTGCACACTGTGCTACGTCCACACCCCAGCTGGGCACCAGGAGCTTTACTGAAAATAGAGACAGTAGAAGGTCTTTGTCCTCAATAGTGAGAGTGCAGTGTAGTTTCTGCCAAAAGGAAGATGGGAGGGTTTTTATTTGAAGCAATTCAGAGAGACACATGCCCAGAGAGAGGGGCTTGAGAGTTGAGACCAGCAGCAGCCTGTGCCCAGCATCTCACAGTCAATAGGGCCCCCAGAGCCACTCTCTTCTCTCCCATCTCTGTGCACTTTGAATTTCAAATAAATAAGTCATTTTTAAAAAGAAATTAAAATTTTTAATGAATAAAATATCACTAGAGCTTTGGGAAGTTTCTGTGGCAGCAGAAACACACACACACACAGAAACTCAGAAACAAAGGAGCCAGAAAAGTTCCCCACCTTTGTGCATTTCTCTCTTTGTGTGTTTCTCAATGACTCCTTCCCAGAACCCCCACCATGCCTCAGAGGCTCCACCTTCAGCAGCCATAATTAGGTCAAGTTTCCACCCCAAAACTATTAACATTAACTGTTAACTGTTAACTGATAACATACGATGTTGAGATTGAAGTCTCCACATGAGTGGCCCTCTGCGCCACAGCACCCGCCGCAGCACCCACCGCAGCACCTGCCACAGCACCCACTGCAGCACCCGCAACAGCACCCGGCACCCGCCACAGCACCAGCCACAGCACCCGCCACAGCACCCGCCGCAGCACCCGCCACAGCACCCACTGCAGCACCCGCAACAGCACCCGGCACCCGCCACAGCACCCGCCGCAGCACCCGCCACAGCACCCGCCACAGCACCCACTGCAGCACCCGCCACAGCACCCACTGCAGCACCCGCAACAGCACCCGCCGCAGCACCAGCCACAGCACCAGCCGCAGCACCCGCCGCAGCACCCGCCGCAGCACCCGCCACAGCACCCACTGCAGCACCCGCAACAGCACCCGGCACCCGCAACAGCACCAGCCGCAGCACCAGCCACAGCACCAGCCGCAGCACCCGCCGCAGCACCCGCCGCAGCACCCGCCTCAGCACCCGCCTCAGCACCCGCCACAGCACCCGCCACAGCCTGTGCCTTCTTGGTGCACGTCTGACGTTGACCTGTATTGTGTTCACTTTTGCAGTTGTGTATAACGGCAAATGAGGTAGCCTTTCCAGGAAATAACTGGCCTCTTTAAATAGGGAACTTTTGAAGATACAGTCATTTTGCCCAACACATTCCCCCCTCCCTTCCCCCAGGGGCACGAGCAAGGTGGAGCAGGTAGAAGTCTGTCATGAATACTCTGAGAACCCTGCGGGGGTTCTTAAACAGGGCTGCTTGGACTGAAGGCAGCAAGGCAGTGTCCATTCTGCATGCTGCTCGGCAGCCACACAGGTGCCCAGGGGCCAGACGCGTGCCTGCTCTCAGGCTTGGGGTACTGTTCTGTCTCCCACGGGTACTTCCTTGCAAAGCTGCACTGGGAGGAGGCAGCCTGGAGGGCCCTGAGGCCCAAAGATGCAGGAACAGTTGCCAGGCCTTGTCAAGGAAGGAGGGGAAGGGAATCTTACCTCCTTTGCAGTGTCCTTTCCACTTACATTCTTTTAGGATCTGCGTTGGTGGTAACAGTCTATTCATAGATTCTATTCTTTTTGTTGTTGTTGTTATTCGCTTTGTTTTTACAGCAGCTCAGAGCAAAACTGGATGTGAAGTCCACAATTCTAATGATCTCCTCTCCTACACCATCAGCACCCTGCCCCAGGGTGGTACTTGGTTATCCTCCAGGGGCCTACACTAACGCATCATTGTCACCCCAAGCCCACGGTTTACAGTAGAGTTCACGCCTGGTCTTGACAAATTACACTGAAAACAACCTTCTGTGCATGCACGCATTCCTCCCTCCCCCTCTGCCCCGGGGCGCCCATTGATCTCTTTACAGTCTCCACGGTTTCGGATTTTTCCTTTTGCACAATGCCATGTCCCTGGAATCATGTAGAGCACAGCCGTTTCAGAGCGCTAGCCTCTTCTATGATTTCCTTTCTGCCTTCTAGACCATTGCCATTAACCTCAATTTACCTTTGAAGAAGTGGCTGACACATAACAATGAAAAAGCAAACTACAAAGTGGCCCGGGGAGCTCCGGCATCAGCATCAGAGAGTGGTGAAAAAGCCCTGAGGCAGGGAAGAAAAGAGGTCTAAGGTGGTTAGAGAACCGTGCTGGGGGGCGGGAGGGAGGGGGGAAAGAGACGCTGGGTCCAGGGTCCACACAGCGCTGTGCAGCGAGGGCAAGCTGACGGATGTTTTTCAAAGTCGAACAGGAAGCCAGCAAAGGGTTTGAGCAGTTATCAGATCTCCTCTCTCTTAAAAACACCGCAGAACCGCTAGGGAGAAATGACTGCGGGTGGACCTGAGGAGCTAGTTCTAGTTAGGGAACTGCTGCAGCAGCCCAGCCAGGAGAAAGTGAATCGCTTTAGAATAGGACTGATGTGGGTGCTGAGACCACAAGCGTTGCAGGTGGACCATCTTGTGCGTGAGCCTGGGGGAGAGGAGGTCCCACGTAGCTGTGTGTTTCATACACTCCCCCCACCAATATTCCAAAGAACACTGGAAAGAAAATGTCAGTAAATACGTGCATATCCACCATCTAAATCGCACATGTTAACTACACTTAGGTTTATCTGTGCACGGTCTCTTCCTCCAGTCCAGCTCATGTTTAGAAAGGATACAAACTGCAGACTTGGCTTTGAAGCCTCCTCAGTACAGCAGTGTTTCCGTTCCTCCCTACCCCCTTGGGTTCTAACATCTACACCCAAGGTGAAATGCACAGAGATCTAAAGTGCTGCCAGTCGTGTCCGGACACATCCACCTAGCCACTTAGCCACCCCTTCCATCTGACAGGCAAGGGCTGACCATCCATCACCACGCCGGCTGCTGCTGCTGCTGCTGCTGCTGCTGCTGCTGGGACTCATGCTCCAAACACAGGCTTTGCTTGGAATGTGAGTGTTTGCAGGGACCCGGCCCGGGTGTGCTTCGGCGGCGGTTGCCGGTGGGCCGCGGTCACCCAGGGGCGGCGGTGGCGGGGCCCCGGGCGGGCGGGTCCCGGGCGGCGGGAGGGCGGAGCCGCTGCGGCGGGCGGCGGGCGGCCGGGGCGGGCCGAGGGAGGGGGTGTGTGCGCGGGTCACATGGTCGCGCTGCCCTCCCCGTCAGCGCCCTCGCCGCCGCCGCCGCCGCGGTGCGCTGGCTGCAGGCAAAAAAAAAAAAAAAAGAAAAAAAAAAAGCCTCCGCCGCTTTTGTTGTCGCGGTGGGGAGAGAGCCGGCGAGCAGCGGCCGCAGCCCCGGGGCGGCTCGGGGGGCCCTCGGCCTTTGCCCATGAGGGGGCTCGGCGATCCCCGCCGCCGCCTGCTGCCCGGGCCGGCGCGGCGCTGAGGCGGCCGCCCCTGTGCGGGCCCCTCCCGGAGGGCGCCATGGAGGTGAATGCGGGTAAGAGCCGGGCTGCGGCGGCGGGTGGGGGCGGCGGCGGGGCGCGGGCTGGGGCGGCGGCGGGCGCGGGCTGGGCCGGCGGGGTGAGGGAGGGTCCCGGGCCGTGTCCCCCCCCGGCTCCCCGCCTCGCCGCCGCAGCAGCCCGGCCGCCTCCGGCCCGGCCCCCCCCTCACATGGCCGGGCCGCGCGAGCCACGTGCGCGCTGTGTTTACGTTCGGCGGCGCGCGGGCGCCGGTTGGCTGGGCGGCCGCGTGACGCGGCATTACATAATGGGAGCCGAGGCGGCGGCGGCGGGCGGGGACACGTGAGGCCGCCCGGCTCGGTGACCCACATTCCCCGGGGCCGCAGGGACGCGTGGGGGCGGGCGCGCGCGCGCGCGTGCGTGTGCGTGCGTCCGTCCGTGCGCGTTCGCCCGAGCCCGCGGGGGGGCGCGCGCCGGCGGGGAAGCGCCGCGGCCTTCCCCCCCGCCCCCCGGAGACCCCGCCCCCTCGGAACCCTCGGGCTGTGACGTGGCCGCGGGGTTGCACACTGCGGAGGAGGCCGCGCGTGCGCGCCCGCACCACGCTCTCCCGCGCCGGGGCGTCCCCGGGGCGCTCCCGGCCGCCGCACTGCAGCGACTGACACCCGCACGACCGCGGCGTGACCCCGGCGGCCGCAGGGCTCGCTGCTGCTGAGGAGGGTGATGCACGGGCGCCAGGGGTGCCCGGAGGAAGCCGCACGGCTCCCCTGACACGGTTGGGGGGACCCTTCTCGCAGGAGTTCTGGGGGCGCCCAGGGGCGCTTCCTGCCCTTGAGACGGGGTCACGTGGCTGTGGACAAACGCTGTGTGCTCTGGCACGAGACGAATGTATTTACAGACACAGTTTTTCTGGAAAGAGCTCTAGGATGCCCCTTGGCTGACACGTTACACATACCAGGTCACACCGTAGCTCATCGTTAAGTCAGCTAGGGGAAGGAAGATTCTAGTCATCTTTATAGAAAGACTGGCCGCTTTTGATTAAGGAATTACTTAGAAACAAAACCAAACCTGTGTGTGACCCTTGCTGAACCTGATCAAGAGAGTTTGGCTTTATCTTTGTCTTGATAACCTTGCCCAGGAACGATACCGTGCCCCTTTCTCCGCTTTTGTCCGCCTGTGTGAGTCCTTTACCTGAAGCAAGGGAGATTCCAGGAGCAGCTCGGTGCAGTGGGAAGTGCAGCTCTGAGGAGGAGCTTGTCTGTTTTCAGTGTTTAGGGGACTACCTGCCAGCCTCTGAAGGTATTCTTAAGTCAGCCACTCTAGCCAGGCATTAGGCTTTGACATAATGCAAGTTGAAAGGCTACCCGGTTCACCGGCTCACTCTGCGTGCGGCGTGCAGTGGGAATTTTTCCAGCCTTGCAGCCTGAGAAGGTGAGCTGGCTCAGGTGGATAGGAAGTTACTCTGCTCTGAGCCTTTCTGGTTGGGGATGGCTGTGGCTTCATCCTGCCTGGTGGAGGCAGAGGTTATAAAAATGCTTCTGTTGATCCTTAGCTGTTTCGTTTCCTGGCTCTGTCCCTTGGTCCTTGCTCTGTTGTCCTGCCCGGTCACTCATCGTCCCTGTAGCACCCACTGGTGCACAGGCTTCTGTGGAAGTGCCTGGGTGATTTCCAGGTTCCAGGTTGCCCTCTGTCTTGGACCCACTTGCAAAAACAATTGCTTGGCAGGCTTAGCGCTTAGCTTTTCTTTTTTTGCAGTTGGCTTTGCTGACTCACAGTAACCTTGCACGCACTGGGGACCTTTTCATGTGAATTGTGTAGAAGCCAGAGGCCAGCCATCATGCTGATAATTGTCGCAGTGTAGGAAGTTGAGGTTGCTCCTGAGTTTTCGCTTGTTTACTTGTCCCCAGTTAGGAGCTGGGACGTCAGTCATTTTTTCGCCGTGGGTGATGTCTGTCAGTGGGAGCTTTAGTAAGAATTCCCCCAAACTTTCTTCAGATGGTAGTAAACGTGGCCCCAGGGTGGGGTCAGATGCAGTGCTGCATGGCTCACAGCTGGCCCTGCCCTCTGGGTAGGTGGTTATCGGCGGGTACACATTGAGTCAGGAACCATTTCCTCTTACTGCCCTACAGTGCGTGACACAGTTCTGGTCTTGTTAACTAAGTGAAACGAGAAAAATGATCGCATTTTGGTCATTGAACACATTGGATTGTGCCAACTTCCTTGAGATACCAGGTAACTGATTCCACACACTTTGTTCACAACCATGGCTGTCTGTAAGAATTAGGAAAGCATTCCACACCGTTATAAACCAGTTATCTTGCTATGTTTTTTCCCCCAGTTGGCAAAGTGTCAGAGGGATATAAAGGGAAACAAACTTAGAGCGAGGAGTAGTGAGTCGTGGGAACAGTTAGAAGTGAAGTAGGCAGTTGTTTGACTAGTTATTGGAGTTGTGGAGTTCAGAAGGATGTGTGGGGATAAACCAGAGAGACACGGGGTCCGGAGGGTACAAGAGCTGCTGTTGACCATGTTGGTTCCGATGTCCTTGTCCTGGTTCTTGCTTCCTGCTGACCTACACGAGCACAGACAGCCCTGTGTTTCCCGTGGTCACAGCTGCCGCCCGGGTGGGACACCTGCACCCAGCTCTTGTTTTCAGTGCTCTGTAGGTGTTTGCGGAGGGAACCTGCATGGAGGAGTGCAGTCTTTCTCTGACTTTTTTCCTCTTAATTTTTTTTTTAACATGATGGCAATATAAGAGGATCAATTTGAACTATTTTGATTCAACACCCTAGTATAATGGTGTCTACTGGACCATTATATGTACTTCTGAGATTCTTTTTTTTTTTAATTTGCCTTTTATTGGAAATGCAGATTTACAGAGAGAAGGAGAGACAGATTTTCCATCTGCTGGTTCACTCTGCAAATGGTTGGAACTGTTGGGGCCAAGCTGATCTGAAGCCAGGAGCCAGGAGCTTTTTCCAAGTTGGCCACGTGGGTACAGAGTCTCAAGGGTTTGGGCCATCCTGCGTTGGTTTCCCAGGCCATAACAGAGAGCTAGAAGGGAAATGGAGCAGCTGGGACATGAACTGACTTTCTTATGGGTCGCTGGCACTTGGGAGTGGAGGATTAGCTGATTGAGCCATCATGCTGGCCCCTTCTTGCATTACATCTGTGGTGGAAGTTACTCTTGCGCCATCCTTGAGGTAAGGGATTAATTTAGGGGCAGTTGTTTGGCCCAGGTACAACCATAGAGGAGGAAACAGTCTTAAAATGGCTGCCTTTTTGGGCCCGATGTGCTAGCCTAGTGGCTAAATCCTCACCTTGCATGTGTCAGGATCCCATTATAGGCACTAGTTCTAATCCTGGCTGCTCCACTTCCCATCCAGCACCCTGCTTGTGACCTGGGAAAACAATCAAGGGCGGCCCAAGGCTTTGGGACCCAGCACCTACATGAGGGACCTGGAGGAGGCTCCTGGCTCCTGGCTTTGGATTGGCTGAGCTCTGTAGCCACTTGAGGAGTGAACCAGTAGATGTAACATTCTTCTCTCTCTATCTCCTTCACTCTGTATCTCTGGCTTTCCAGTAAAATAATTTTTTTTAAGGCTGATTTTAAAAGTGGTGCAAGGGCAGGTTTGTGGCCTCTCCATCAGTATGCCTGGCTTGGAGTCTTGGCTCCGCCTTTGGTTCCAGCTTCCTGCGAATGTGTACATTAGGAGGCAGCACGCAGTGGTCCCCGCGTGGGAGAGCCAGATTGAGTTGCTGCAGTGTTTGGGATGCAAAGCGGTAGAGGCAGGATCTGTCTCTGTCTCTGCAAACAAGTGAACACGGGTGGTGAGGGGTTGAGCACGGCGATGCTGTGCAGCTTACGGAGAACAGTGTTGGAGCCAGGCGGTGACGCCCTCACGCCGTCTGGGGTGTGCAGACTGCTTACCTTCGGAGCTGTGAGGGGCAGGTCGGTTATGGACAGTGAGGGAGGCGTGTTTGTGTAAGGGCACAGGAGACGGGCCTCTCCTTTGTTTACCATGCTGTAAGGTCAGAGCTGCTGTGCCATCTGCAGCTCCTCTGAGTTTCAGAATTGGTGTTTTTTTTTTTTTTTTTTTTAACGTCTTGTGGCTAATGAGATTGGCTTTCCCCCTCAAACACTGGATTACATCTGTATTTGATCTCTTGACCCCTCTTTTCCAGCAGTTGATTTTGGGACAGAAACACTAGACCCATTTTTGTCATTCCCATTTAAAAAGTTGTCTTGTTATGCAGTGCATCTTTTAGTATCTTAGCGGTTCCCAAAGGACTCCCTCACTTTTTGTGTTGTTGCCTTGACAGCCTTTGCCCTCCTCGGGCTCTTACTGCTCCCACAGCCGCAGCTGAGTCTTCGCAGGTCTCTGGTATAAGCCATTGCTCACACCAGTTTCCCTGCCGGCCTGTTAGGCTTTTAAGGACAGGCGCATGCTGTTCCCTGGAGCCCTTCCACTTAGGACACAATGGGAACTTCAGTACTTTAATCCCAGCTGCTCTACTACCCCGAGGGTAGGAATTGTTATCAATGACCTGCTTTTGAGCAGAGAAGGCTAAAGCTTGTTGGAGCTGAAATGTTTTATTTTCAATCAAGAAGCAGAAAAAAATACATTCAGTCAGGTGGATTTTCTAGGACTGTGAACAGTCCTGGGAAAGGGCTAGGAGAACCCCAATATTTGCAGAAACAGAAGAGCTAGCCAGCAGTACCACATTGGGTGCTGGCTTCTTGCTGGTCTGAGGTTGGCTGCTGGGTAAGTCCTACCCCGAGGCACTGGCCCTGCTCCAGGGCCCTTCCAGCTGAAAATAGAGAAGACTGCCTCAGCTAATTTTAGCACAAGGCGTCTGGAAGTAGCATCAGCCTGTTTCTGGAGGTGCTGGGACTTGCTGGTTTGGGGATTTTTCCTTTCTTGCCTTATCCAAAGCTGTGTGCAGAGAGCACCTTAATAAGCCTTTCTGTGAACGTCGTCTCAGTGCCCACCTACAGTAATTCTGACCAATACTTGTTTTTGATGGGAAATGGCTTGTATGCCAGGTCTTCTCACTAGGAAATAATAGCCTGGACTTGGGCAGCCTTGACTTTTCACTCCCTCCCTGCCACTTAGTGACTGTGTTACTAAGTCCCCCTGAACTCCAAGTTCCTCATCACCTACAAAACTGGGTGATCAGAATCCTTGGGAGATTCAGTTGTGATGTGAAATTGTTACTGTTGTATGCTTGGATTTTTATTAGAGACTTGGTAACTTAATTTCACTTCCCTTTCTCTCAGGTTGAGGAACTGCTTAGATGTACCTTCTAGGAAATTAAAATGCAGCCTGTTTGTGTTGTGGCCCCTAAGGTTGATGAATTGATGTTAGTAGTTAAGAGTAGATGCTAAGACAACTCAGTGGCAAAGTTTTTCTGGGAGAATATAGCTGCTTCTAGATTCTAGTTGGGTTATCTTTGTTTCTGTGGTGCCTGGAGCAACTGCTTGGCCTCTGGAGGATGAGAATTGTTTATTTTTAATTTTTAAAGATTTATTTATTTGCAAGGCAGAGTTACAGGGAGGGAGGCGTCTGACCTGCTGGTTCACTCCCCCTAAATGGATGCAACAGCCAGGGCTGTGCCAGTCCAAAGGCAGGATCCAGGAGCTTCATCTGGGTCTCCCACATGGGTGCTGTGGCCCAAAGATTTGGTCTGCCTCCCGCCGTTTTCCCAGGCACGTTAGCAGGAAGCTGGATTGAAGTGGAGCAGCCAGAACTTGGTACTGGCATCTCAGGTGGCAGCCTTAATTGCTGTGCCCGAACACTGGCTCCAGGAATTGGATCTTAACTGGATTGAAGCCCAGTAATTTTTCCTAGGTTGGGTTTTGGAATTATTGCTGATACATGACCACTTCAGCCAGGGCTGGCCTGGGCCAGCATCAGGGGCCTTGAACTCTGGGTCTCTAAGACATCTTCGACTCCTTGACACATTGGCAGGGAGCTGGATCAGAAGTGAAGCAGCCAGGACTTGAACCAGCTCTGTTACAGAATGCCAGCCCTTTTAGTTAATCCTTGAACTACCTGGTTAGTCCTGATTTCTGTTTCCTTCCTTCCTTCTTTTTTTTTTTTTTTTTTTTTTGGTAAAGACTTACTCATTTTTATTGGAAAGGTAGATGTACAGAGAGGAGAGACAGAGGGATAAGATCTCCATCTGCTGATTCATTCCCTAAGTGGCCACAATGGTCGCAGCTGAGCCAATCTGAAGCTAGCGGCACGGAGTTTCTTCCAGGTCTCCCACCAGGTGCAGGGTCCCAAGGCTTTGGGTCATCCTTGACCGCTTTCCCCGGACACAAGCAGGGAGCTGGATGGGAAGTGGGGCAGCTGGGGCACATACCATCACCCATATAGGATCTTGGCACATGCAAGGCGAGAATTTATCTATTAGGCCTTCATGGTGGGCCCTGCAAGTTTATTTGTAAGCTAAGGTGGTCAGAGACCTGTCGGGGGGAGAAATGACTGTCTTAAAATTCTTGTTCTAGAAAAGTCTTATTTCCAAGGAAAAAGCATGAGTTTCTTATCTCTTGCCCACCTGATGTTGGGAATGGATTAGTGCCCAAGGCACTGATTGAGAGAGTACCAATAGCTCAGAGACCTTCCTAAGGGAGTTCATTGAGTGTTTGCTAACACCTGTGATGGCCAAAGTGAACTTCAGAGCTCTAAAGTTTTATGAGGCAGATGCACAGTGGTTTTTACTCAGTAATATCACAATAGGGTTCAATGTTTTCTGTTTAGATTCATGCAAGATTGAAGAGATTAAGGTAGTCATGTCATTGAAAATACAGGCCTTTAAAACTGCCCTCATTTCGTGAACCCTGGGAGTGGGGGAATCTGGTGGGGTCCGGATTGCCTGACGGGGTCCTTGGGCCTGCATGTGTGGTGGGTGCCAGGTCCATGAGCTTCCCGGGCAGGAGGGAGGTCTGGCGGGATCTGGGTCGCCTGGGCCCTTGGGCCCACCTGTGAGAACTGGTCCTCCTCAGTAAAAACGGCGGAATAGTGGACGGCTGGCTTGGACCCACACAGAGGTCATTGTGGCCCATGGAGGCCTGCAGAAGACATCTGTTACCATAGCAGAGGAAGGAGAACAGAACAAATTGGACACCTGTTTCAGCCCGATGATGACAGCAAATATCCACAAATGGAGACTCTAAGGTCACCCAGTGGACACTGAAAGTGTTTCCTCATCCTTGGATTGATGAGATCAGCAACATTTCAGAACTATTGAAACCACCTGGGCTGAACCCTTGGCGTGTTCGCCACATTGGGACCCCGGGTGCTGAAGTGGGTGGGTAGCTCTCCCCTTGTCTCTCCCCAGATACAGGAAAAAGAAATAGAAAACCTGGAAACAATGATCACATCCACTTTTCCCCACCACTTGATCCCCCCGCCCCATAGCTATGTAAGCATCATTTAAAATAACAAACAAACAAACAAAACTACCCTCATTTGTGTTTCAGTTCACTGCTTGCAGCCTCCCGCCCTCCCCCTCTTCCCCCGCCCCCACACCCCTGAGAAGATTGCTTATTTATTTGAAAAGGAGTGTTGGAGAGACACACAGAGAGAAGAGACACAGAGGGAGATCTTCCATATATTTCTCTACTTCCCAGATGGCTGCAGCGGCTAGGAGTGGGCCAGGTCAAAGTCAGAAGCCAAGAACTTCATTCATGTGTAGTGCATTGGTTGCAGCAGCCCAAGCACTTGGGCCATCTGCTGCTTTCTCAGGCACATTAGCACGGAGCTGGATTGGAAGTGGAACAGCAGGAACTTGAGCTAGCTCTCACATGGAATGCTGGTGTCACAGGTGGCAGCTTAAATTGCTGTGCCACAACACTGGCCTCATGTTGCCATTGTTAAGCTTCAGACTACAAAGAATTGCCTGGACAACTTCTGAAAAAATGCACATTTCTGGGGCAGGCATTTGACACAGGTTCAAGTCCCTGCTTGGGACTCATGTGTCCCATATTGAAGTGCCTGGTTCAAGTCCCAGCTGTTCCCTTTTTGATTCAGGTTCCTGCTAAAGCACATCCTGGAAGGCCACAGGTGATTAAAGTGCTTGTACCCTTGCCACTCAGATGGGAGACTGCATGGAGCTCCTGGCTCCTGGCTCCAGCCAGGCCTATGGGGGCTCTTGTAGGCATCTGAGGAATAAACCAACAGCTTGAAGATCTCTCTGCCTTTCAGATAAAATAAGAAACTTCATTCCAGAGGGGATCCTTCTCTAATCTGGATGGGGTCCTTGAAATAGGTATTTTAAAGAGCAACAGGGGCCACACAGTGGGTCAACAGACTAATCTTCCACCTGCAAGTGCCAGCATCCAAAATGGGTGCAGTTCATGTCCTGGTTTCTCTACTTCTAGTCCAGCTACCTGTCTGTGGCCTGGGAAAGCAGTGGAGGCTGGATCAAGTCCTTGGGACCCTGCACTCGAGAAGGAGACCTGGGAGAAGCTCCTAGTTCCAGATTGGTTCTGTGTTTAATAGGCAGGGAGAGGAAAATAGACAGAGTTAGGTCTCCTGTCTGTTGGCTCACTCTCCCAAATAGCCGCACTGGACAGGCTGGGCCGGTGCTGAAGCTGGAATCTGAAGCTGCCTGGGTGATGGGGTCCCAGTGTTTGAGCCCAGGGTACATGTTAGTGGAAAGCTAGGGTCTGGAGTCAGACCAGGAGTTGATCCCAGGTATTCTGACATAGGATGGAGGTATCTGAACCTGTGTCTTAATGTCTAGGACAGCCATCTTCCCTGTCTCACTTTTTAAATCAGTGAGAGTTGGGTGCATCTTGAATTTCTGGAGCAGAAAGAAAACCAGGAAATTCGGGCCCGGTGCGGTGGCGCAAGTGGTTAAAGGTCCTCGCCTTGCACGCCCAGGATCCCATATGGGCGCCAGTTCTAATCCCGGCAGCCCCACTTCCCTTCCAGCTCCCTGCCTGTGGCCTGGGAAAGCAGTCGAGGACGGCCCAAAGCTTTGGGACCCTGCACCTGCGTGGGAGACCCGGAAGAGGCTCCTGGCTTCGGATCGGCGTAGTATCGGCCCGTTGCGCTCACTTGGGGAGTGAATCATCGGACGGAAGATCTTCCTCTCTGTCTCTCCTCTGTGTATATCTGCCTTTCCAATGAAAAAATAATAAAAATAAATCTTTAAAAAAAAAGAAAACCAGGAAATTCGTTATTATTTTTGTCTATAAACTAACAATGTCAGTAGCCTTTTCTAAGGCTGTGTGTGATTCCCTTCGTTCCAGGAGGCGTGATTGCCTACATCAGTTCTTCCAGCTCAGCCTCCAGCCCTGCCTCCTGCCACAGTGAGGGCTCCGAGAATAGTCTCCAGTCCTCCTCTTCTGTTCCATCTTCGCCAAACAGCTCCAACTCTGACGCCAATGGCAATCCCAAGAACGGCGAGCTCCCCAGTATTGAAGGCATCCTGAAGAATGATCGGATAGATTGTTCCATGAAAGCAAGCAAGTCAAATGCACCAGGGGTAACAAAGAGTCACAGTGGTGTGACAAGTAAGGCATTTTACTATTTGAGGTGGGCTTATTTTTTGGGGTTTTGGATTGGGAACCAGTGTATTTCTGGGTTTAGTTTTTAGTAATGGTTTTACAGTACAGCTCAGGGACTGCCTTGTGTAGTTACGTCCCCTTTGGGGACCTAGTATACTTCACTTTAAGTTATCTTTTTTTTTTTTTGTGGGAAGGGGTTTACTTTTATGAATCTGAATGGGGATATTTGGGACTAGGAAAGCAAGCAGGATTAATAAAGGTAGAATAGTGAGATTTGGGTTCCTGAATGAATGTGGACATAACAGTGGCTGGGGCAAGACTTTGTCAGTGGGTTGAACTGGCACAGCTGCCTGCAGAGGCAGCTTATAGACCTGATGGCTGTCGTGGCCATTTGGGGATGGAAGATCTCTCATTTTCTCTCTGTCTCTTCCTCTCTCTCTGTAACTCTATCTTTCAAATTAATGAAATTAATATTTTATCTTGTATATTACGAAGTAGGTATCTGTCCTGTTAAAGCACCTGTATGTTGAAGGAAATAAAATAATTCAGTTTGGAAAGAAAGTTGAAGAGCCGAGATGCTTCCCTGAGTTTTTAATTTATGTTTGTTTTCCCCTTAGAGTTCAGTGGCATGGTTCTACTGTGCAAAGTCTGTGGGGATGTGGCGTCAGGATTCCACTATGGAGTGCATGCGTGTGAAGGCTGCAAGGTAAATCATGTTTTTCTTTCTTGAATCTACTGATTCTGGGCTTTAGGAAAGTGGCGTCAGGCTTGCCACTGTCTGCAGTTGTTAATCAGGGATGGAGACTAGAAGTCAGCTGTTCCCTGTTAGGTTTATTTTTAAGTCATTTAAAGAGGTGTGTAAACATAACTTGAATATTCTCAATTCTTTGTAATATCAGTCTCGATTGGACTGATATTATCATGAGACACTAAATGCTCAGGTGTGGTTCTCTGTGATGGGAAAATGGCAAGAAAACACCCTTATAGGAACTTATGCTAAACCTGGCTTTGATGAGGCCCTGGTTCACTTTGTGCTACTATACACAGTAACAGAATAATATAGACTGTGTGATTGATGGATGAAAGAAGCTTATTTGATGCAGAGTTCTGGATGCTGGGAAGTGTTGGTCCTGAGGGCTGTGTTTAATGAGAAGCTCTTCTCACTATGTCATAACATGGTGGAAGGCGTTGTGTGGTAAGACACCTGCAGACACACAAGAAGGGGCTCCCTTACCAGGGAGGCATGCTAACATTTGTCCATGTGTGAGGACAAAGCCCTGCCTGGTGGCCTTGTCACCTCTGCAAGGTCCTACCTCTTCACGCTGGTGCCCTGGGGGCTAGGGTGCCAGCACATTGGCTTTGAGGAGACAGCTCAGCCATAGCTGGTCTGACAAGTCAGGTACTTGGTGCTGGGAATACTTCTCAGATAACTTGTAAAATTGGGATGTCTGAAGAAATAAAGTCAAATAAGTGAAATAATCTTGTCTATAAAAATTTAACACTTGGGAAGCTACATTTAATTTGTAAGTTTTGGTGCATATTTCCCAGCTAGTGCTAACATGAAATGATCTCTACTTTTCTGCTTGTTTCTAAAAAATCAGTCCATCTCTCTCTCTGCCCCTCCCTGGTATAATTGTTTCTCCTGAATATTAAACATTGATGTGGCAGAGGCTCATGTTCTTGCTATTTTCCCAGTTAAGGCCAGAAACAAGGAAAATATGGTGGATCAACATGATAATGACTAGAGATGATGAAAGAAGAAATAATTTCTAGGATGCTTGTGAATAGATTGTGACTTTAGTATCTTTTGGTTGGCAGGGTCACTTCACAAAGACTAGTCGGTAGAACAATTGAATAGCTGTTGCACTTTCCTACTGTTTTTAACAGTTCAATGAACGCTGGGTATTTTTGCTTTCTTTATAAAATGTGAAGTAATTGGGGGGTAGGCATCATTCTTTATTGCTAAATAATAAAGGAAAACATGAAATGAATTGAATTGTATGTTAAAATATACTTATCTCTCCAATACCTCTTAGTAATATGTCTAACTTTGCTTTTGTAATGTCCAAGTCAAGCATATTTGAAATATAAAAGTGTTGTGTCCTACAGCCACTTAATACAGAGTTATGACATGTGTGGTTATGAAAGTCCAGAAAAATGAATTTAAAATAATTTGGGTAATTATGTGATTGAAGTCTCTGCTGTCCCTGAAAGCATTAAGCTAGAGAGCCTTGAGCCTGGCTGCGGAGTGTGGACTTACACTGTTTGTGGCTATCTGTCCAGCAGCTGTCTTTCCTTAGGTCGTTAGCTGCTTGGTGGGTGTGTGCTGTGATGCCTAGCCCGCTGTTGACATGTTTCTGTGACCTGTGCCACATGTGAGCGGTCCTTGTCAGTGTCAGCCACAATGACCAAACTCTCCTAAATATAGTTCAGACTTTGAGTTAGTCAGTTAGAGGTATTAAATGCAGTATTGGCAGTCTTTTAGCAATCAGTCCTTCATATTACAGGAGTTTTGCAGTTTGAATGTGGTTTAAAGTATGAGCTAGGAAATGTGGCTGCGGGCAGAGTATGGTGACAGGGTTCAGGATAGTTAAAGGGGTGCTTCTGTAAAGCACAGACTGTCCAAAAGAAAGAAAGAGTTTTGTATGACTAACGGATGCAGTTTCTTCCCAGAACCAGTAAGAATCCTGTTAGGTTGTGGACATCAATATTGTATTTCCAAGGTATTTCCACGGATATCTAAGTATTGAGATGGCTTTAGAAGGGGTTCATTTGGATGCTTGTAAATGGATGGGTTCATCTTCCTTTGTTATTAGGGTTTCTTCCGGAGAAGTATTCAACAAAACATCCAGTACAAGAAGTGCCTGAAGAATGAAAACTGTTCCATAATGAGAATGAACAGGAACAGATGTCAGCAGTGTCGCTTCAAGAAGTGTCTGTCTGTTGGAATGTCGAGAGATGGTAGGGCCCTGTTAGAGATGGTAGGCGTGTGGAGTTCTGCCCAGACTAAACCCTTTGTACTTAGAACGAAGCAGGTTTCAGGGAACACGTTTTGAAGCCTTGGGGACATGAGGTTAATTAAAGTAAAATTTTAGCAACTTCCCTGATAGTGTTTGACTCTGTTTCTTTTGTTGTTGTTTTTACTTCTTGTAAAAAGACATATATTTTACAGATTTGTTTATTTGAAAGGCAGAGTTACAGAGAGAAGGGTTGGTCTTCAGTCTGCTGGCTAACCCCCTGGAGTTCCACAATGGTGAGGGTTGGTCCAGGAGGCAGGAGCTTCACCTGGGTCTGCCATTCAGACAGTTAGCAGGCAGCTGGATCAGAAGTGGAGCAGTTAGGACACAAACCAGTGCCCATATGAGATGCTGGCATTGCAGGATGGCGGCCTTATCCACTACCCCACAACACTGACCCAAAAGACCTATTTTAAAAATATACTCTGATTACTGTGTCCTTAAAAACATTGTTATCGCTGATATACAGGAGGCTTTGGTTTCTTAGCATTACTGAGGAACCACTTAGGTGAGTTCTTCTTACCGTCTTTAGCCCTGAGATGATGATGTGCGTTTGGGACAGATTCTGAATGTCTGGGAAGGAGATAGGAAATAAAAGTATCGTGAGCTGCTGGAGTGGAGGTGGTTGTTCAGCTGTGGCCTGATCCAGTTTCATAAAAAATAGAAAAACTGTAATTTCTGGCTTCGTTAGTGTTAACCTGTGGATGATGTCATTGGAAGACCTGATTAGTGTGGCTAGAAAAGTCATGTTCTGGTGCAGTTTCTCTCTGTTTGAAGTAACAACAAATATGTGGTTTCCATAGGGATTAGGTTATAAAGTAGTTAAAAATTGCTAGGCATGAACTTCATGTTTAAAGCAAGGTCATTTAAGCAGCGTCCTGTGTTACTCTTCTACTATCTTACTGATACAGATATAGAACATTGTAATAAGGCATTTCTTGAATAACAGATTTCAGCAGCTGAAGTTTTGTGTTTTTAATTGCCTGAAAATTTTGCAGAATAGCATTTCTGTAAAAGTGATGAATGTTTTCATTGCCCCACAAGGAGTAATGCAATGAGCAGTCCTTTGTGAAAGTAGGGGTGAAGAAGGAGACATGACAAAACTGTCTGTCTTTGATAATATTGGAGATTGCAGTCAGACCAGCGAGTTTTGCTTGCTGGGTGGGTATATTGAATTTGTGTTATCTCACTATAAATATTGGACTGGAAGGAAGCCTAGCTTTTCTTTTCTTCAGAAATAGGATTATTAGAGACAGGATACTTTGCAAGACTCGTGTCCAAAAGAATGGAAGACAATTGATTCATTCTGAATTCATTGATGTGAATTAAAATCCATCAAATTTATTTTCTAATAAATGCGTTTCTATTGATTGTGGTACTTTTTTTTTTTTTTTTTTTCAAAAAAAGATCTTCTTAAGCAAGATGGCAGATCATTTAATGGGGTCATAAGAGTAGAGTTACAAGAATGGTTTGACACCAGGGTCTGATGTTCAGGGACTGATTGATGTGGAAGATGTGGGTAGCTGAGTCTGGAAGACCTGCTTGAGAAGGGAGCCCCCAATCTTGTTAATATAGAGGTGGGTGGTAGTGCTGGTCTGCTTCAAACTGTGCTTTTCATTAGTTATTTTAGTAATTCTTTCTTGGCTTTTATCTGTACAATGTCTAGGATTCTCCTTAGTTTTGTTTTGGAAGAAAATTGGAAAATTTCACCTCCTTTGTCTCTTTCTCTGGTACATTACATCTATCAGGTTTAGAAAAATTGACCCAGAGGTGCTGGCACTGTGGCATAGTGGATAAAGGTGGTAACACAGGCACCATAGGGGCATTGGTTTCAGTTCCCACGGCTCCACTTTTGATCCTGCTCCCTGCCTGTGGCTTGGGAAAGCAGAGAAGGATGGCCCAAGTCCTTGGGCCTCCCTGCACCCACATGGGAGATCCAAAAGAAGCTGCTGGCTCCTGGCTTTGGACGAACCCAGTTCCGGCTGTCCTAGATGTTTAGGAAGTGAATCAGTGGATGGAAACTTTATCCTGTGTTTCTCTCTCTGTAACTCTGCCTTTTAAATAAACAAGTGAATTTTATTCTTACAAAATGTATTTCAAATTGCTCAAATATAAAAAACCAACACTGTGAAGTAATGCAGAGCTCCCTTCTGCCTCTCCCCATCTACTGCTGCCAACATTCTATATTATACAATCTATTTGTATAATGAATCATATCCAACTCCTCTCCCTTCCCTCCTTTTTAAGTAAATCCTTTAAAAAATAAAAACTCTTTAAGAAAAAAAAAAGAATAAGAAAATTTGAGCCGGAGATCTGTTGGTATCCATTACTTGCATACAGGCCACAGCTGTCAGAAAAAGTCTGTGCTACTTTTGTATGGCAGGTCTTATTTAGACAACGAATGTTAACTATCTTTTTCTTTAATAGCTGTTAGGTTTGGTCGCATTCCTAAGCGTGAGAAACAAAGGATGCTAATTGAAATGCAAAGTGCGATGAAGACCATGATGAACAGCCAGTTCAGTGGTCACTTGCAGAATGACACATTAGTAGAACACCGGGAACAGACGGCCTTACCACCCCAGGAACAGCTGCGACCCAAGCCCCAGCTGGAGCAAGAAAACCTGAAAAGCTCTCCTCCTCCCTCTTCTGATTTTGCAAAGGAAGAAGTCATTGGCATGGTGACCCGAGCCCACAAGGATACCTTTATGTATAATCAAGAGCAGCGAGAAAATTCAGCGGAGAGCATGCAGCTCCAGAGAGAACGGATGCCCAAGAACATCGAGCCATATAATTTAAATCATGACCATTGTGGCAGTGGGCTTAGCAGTCATTTTCCCTGTAGTGAGAGCCAGCAGCATCTCAATGGACAGTATAAAGGGAGGAACATAATGCATTACCCAAATGGTCATGCCATTTGTATTGCAAATGGACATTGTATGAACTTCTCCAATGCTTATACTCAAAGAGTATGTGATAGAGTTCCAATAGATGGATTTTCTCAGAATGAGAACAAGAATAGTTACCTGTGCAACACTGGAGGGAGGATGCATCTGGTATAGTGAAATCAATTTTTTGCTCACCTTGTATCAAGGAAAGCTTTGAAGGTTTTCTTTTATTTGGGGGTTATTCCAGCTTTGGGAAGGCAGTAAGAAGACCTAAGATATCTATAAAAATATTTTTGAACAGTACTTTGGGTCAAGTAGTTTTAATAAACGTCCTTATTGAGTGACCTTTTCACACTAACTAGGTACCAACGTATGATTGATTGTTCCTGTGCTGGGGAGTAGGATTTTGTGTATTGCATGTGATTCATATGACATTGATCCTGTAATTTTTGAAAATTCCTTTGACAATGTGAGCATTCTGATTAATTAATACCTTATTAGCTTTGGGAGTTTTTCAAAAAGCTGACTACTTTGCTTACTGTAGTCTGGAAAGTCTTTGATTTCTGAGGAAAGAGGCTTTCTTTTTAAAATCATCACAGTGGCAAAAGGTCTTTGGATATAGAACAAAGATGTTTGATTGTTTTGAGATTTAGGAATATTTTAATTTAATAGGCTAGTATCTGAGAATTTTCCTAGATCCCTTCCTATGCAGTAAGCTAATGTTCCTCATTCAAGTTTTTTTTCATCAAACACAACATTCTACATGAAAGTACAAAGCTCATATTCAGCCAGAATTTCATCAAAAACAGCATTTCCAGTTTAAACCATGGGGTCTTTGATAGTGCTTGATATTTTCTACCAACAGGTAATTACTGCCTTCTTTCTTCATTTTCAATACAGTAAACTCTGCTACAGTCTTCATGTTTGATTTTTGTACCCCTTGCAAGTATTCGATTTGGGAACTGCAAGGTGACCTTGTATTTTGTTAGGCTTGGTGACTTCCTTAAGCGTTTAGGTTCTGATTGAATGATGATAATCTCCAAGGTTTTGAAATCACCTGGTTCCTGGCCCTCATGGTAGATTTGATGAACTCCCCATGGAGTATGGGGTGCGTTTTCACAGTGTTCATCGGTGATTGATGCATGCCTTGTTTGATTGCCTCTTTCCCCTCCTCTGGTCCTCAGTGAGTGGGTAGAGGTCAATGGTCCCTCCGTTGTTCATGAACTAAAAAATGCCAATGACCTTTATAAAAACTGACATGTCTTAGTCTCTTCCTCTTGGAAATCACAACATTGTGTTTCTGCCTATTTAGTGATAAGTGCATTTTTGAAATAGAGCCTAAACATAGCTTTGGATCCTAGGCCAGGGACTTGTATTTTTGGCTAAGTCACTGGATCTCTCAGATCTAAAGAAATACCATTGTTATAGTTCCTGAGAAAGGCAGTGTATGCTAGCATAAGGTCGCAGCAATGTTACAAAATAGTCTTAAACCTCTGTAGCAGGTTTTTGAAGTAGCTTGATGATGACATTTTTGCTTAGGTTACTTCTTTTATGGTAATTTGCTGTTTAAATTAGATTGCCACAAGGCTTCATTTTTTAATGAAAAGATTATATAATTAAAAAATATATATACCAATTTATTTGAAAGGCAGAGTTGGAGCATGAAGGCACTTCCATCTGCTGGTTCACTCCCCAAGTGGCCACAATGGCCCAGAGAGATGGAGCTGATCTGGAAGCAGGAGCCAGGAGCTTCTTCCAGTCTCCCACATAGTGCAGGTGCCCAAGCAGGTGGGCTGTCTCTGCATTAGCAGAGGGCTGGATTGAAAGTAGAGTAGCTGAGGCTTTTACCAGCACCCTAACGGAATGCCAGTGCCACAGATGTTGGCTTTATCCACTCTATATTTTTCTTTTTCTTTTTTTTAAGTCTTGAATGAGTGGAGCAAAAAAAAAAAAATATATATATATATCTAAAGCCACAGCTTCTGGAAGAACCATTTATTCTTGCTGGTCTTGTACCTCTCTTCACACTTGACTCTGGCCTCATGCCGGACTTTGAGGTTCAGAGTAGAGTCTGTGAAGGCACCCCTTGTTGAGTACAGTTTTGTCTGAGGGAGCATCCACAGACCACCTGGTGGGCATGAGGTGGTTGCAGTTATAAACCTTCACAAATGACTTGATCTTGGACTGCTTGGCAATCCTCAAGCCTGTGGTGGCTGTTGCTTTGCAGGGATAGTGGTCCATGCTGGCCACCAGAATGTGGCTGGGTGCTCCGAGGTGCTGACATTGATGTTCTTCACGATGATAGCTTGGCGTCCCAAGTAGCATCCATCCAGGACCAGCACCACTTTCCAGGGTTTCATGAACTTACCCATTTTGATGAGCACTTCTCGAGGCTACAGCAAAAACAGTTTTATATGTATATATATTTTCAAGTGTGAAATATTCCAGAATTTTCTGATGAGATCCAAAAATAATATAAAAGTATCTGCCATCACTGCATATTTAAAAAAATTTTATTTTTCATGATACAGTTCAATAGGCTAAGGGATTTCCCGTTCCACTCTCTCCAATTCCTCCCCCCCCCCCCCGATTTACAGGATATTATTACAACAGTATAGTCCTTCAACAACAGTCACAAATCTGTCATTCTGCTGTTGCAGTGTATCATGACATCTGTGGGGATAGGCTTCCTTTACATCGACTAGAATTTGTTCACTTATTTTTTTTTAATATAAATTGACAGTTCTTAATTGCATACATTTAAGCTGTGAGACTTTCTGTAGTAAGGCCAGCAGCTAGTGGAAAGAGAGGCAGTATCAGCAGATTTCAGTCAAGTTGGAGTGTTAACTAATTTTCATGATGGAGTTGCTGCTTTTGGAGTTTCTTCCTTATCTCTCACATTTTAAGAACTTCTCTGTTTGTGTATACCAGGTTTGTCCAATGAGTAAATCTCCATATGTGGATCCACATAAATCGGGGCATGAAATCTGGGAAGAATTTTCGATGAGCTTCACACCAGCAGTGAAAGAAGTGGTGGAATTTGCAAAGCGCATTCCTGGGTTCCGAGATCTCTCTCAGCATGACCAGGTCAGCCTGCTGAAGGCTGGAACTTTTGAGGTAGGTTTCCTGTATCTGAATGTGGATGCACAGGCCATACAGTGTTTTATTTTCATTGTTTCGCTAAGGAAGTACAGATTGGGCATTCCTAATTTGAAAATCCCAAGTCCAAATTGTTCTACAGTCTGAAACGTTTTGAGGGAAAACTTGATGCCACAAGTGGACCATTCCACACCTGATTTCATATGGGCATACTAAAAGCATGCTGTAAAATTACCTTCAGGTGGTATATATAAGATATATGAAGGATAAATGAATTTCCTGTGTATGATTGGGTTTCATTACCCAAGATAATTTCATTGTGTATATGCAGATATTCCAAAATCTGAAACATCTCTCATCCCAGCATTTCAGATAAGTGATACTTGTCTTCTTTGTATAGCTTTGAGTCTGACACTACCAGCCAGTGAATAACCATCTCAGGATATGGGGAAGAGTGCAGGTCACCCCACAGTTACTTAGGACTTGAAATATGGGGCTGTCTACCCCCAGCATGTGAACTCTGAGTCCTAGTGTTGTCTTCTGGTGTGGACTTGGACACCTACTGGCATCCTTGCCTGGCGTTTACTGTATTCAGTACAGAGTAAGAAGTAGAGGTGGACTGTGGATCCTTAGACTGTCTTCTAGTGATCACAGAGGGTAGATCAGCTACCTCTCATGTGGCGTCTCCCATCTCGGATTTGTGGCTGCTGTTTCTGCTTGCAGCTTCTCCCAGAGCCGCATCCTGCTTGGACTTGGGATAGCTGCTGCGGCCTTCACTTGAGCAGGACACGATCACATGGTGCCTTGCCTGGTGCTGACTGTGGCTGCTTTGCTGTCACTGCATGTGAGAGCCTTGGAAGTGCTTGGAGCTCACCTCAGTGTAACTCCAGTATTTGGGGTGATTTGGGGGTTGTTGATGTCTGGTGGGCTAAATCTTTGAGCTTTGGATCCATATAGTATCATCGCTTTGCCCTGGATGGTTCTACAAGTTGGAAGTGTGAGTTAATTTTGATATTGATGCTGGCCAGCTTAGTAATGTGTTCCAGTTCTTGCTCACTCTCCTTGCCTGTTGCGTGTCCTTTCTGCTCGCTACTGCTGCCCATGCACACTTTTTGTGTCAGCTTCTGTTTTCTGGAGGACCTGGACAGGAGCAGAGCAAAAGTCATAGTTAGTGCTGGGATAGCAAAGGCCAAATCCCAGATGAATGCTTCACCACGTAGGCCTTCAGCAGACAGCAAGAGTAGGCCTGCGACTTAGATCCAGAAGAACTGGAGGAGCGGTAACCATGACCTAGACATGTATGGAGGCTTTTCAGTTGCTGGTGAGTTGACAGCACAGCCAGAACTGAACACACTGTGTACTCCTGAAGCTTGTATTGTTTTTTCTGCCTTGTAAGTGAGCTTGTGTACCAAAGTTAGCACCATTTTCATGTAAGACTCACTCTGGGGTAAAACAAGTCGCTGCTTGGGAGCGTTGCAAAGGGAAGGTGTTTATTCAGTGCTCCTGTGGCTGTCAGAGAAATGTGTGACAGGAATGCATGCTATGTTCAGTGCAATGGAAGGAAGAGGTAAGTAATGTGAAAATTAACTGATTTGGTTTGGCGTCTATAACTTGGTAGTTAGAACACCTTGATTGTGATTCGGGCTGTGGTTTCTTAGAATAGTCTGATTAGAATTTGCCTGCTGTGTTGGTCTTGGCTGCATTGGGTGTTTTGATATTTCCAAGTTTTTCTGCACTGAAATGTTGTTTTTTGTACTTCAGGCATAGAGACATGTAATATACACGTGGTATCCTGCAGTTTCTTTAATGCTTTGATTGTGGCTGCTTTAAGCTTCTTGGCACTGTCCTTTGCTTCAATTTCATGTTTACCTTTCAGAGTCTTAGTAGAGTTTAAGAGTATCATAGGATTCAAATACTTTGGGGCTGTGTGGCTGGGATTTCTTTTGATATTTCTGGAATATTTATTGTTTTGGAAGAGACTTTGCCTCAAGAAAGTGATTCTGGGTAGAAAGAGCTTTTCTTTTACAACTTTTATATGTAGAATGCTTTCTTAACTGACTTCAATACTGAGTTATCTTCTAGCACATTGTTATTCTCCAAGTACGTAAGTCTTTTTCTTTTTCCAGGTTTTAATGGTACGATTTGCATCACTGTTTGATGCCAAGGAGCGTACTGTCACCTTTTTAAGCGGGAAGAGGTACAGTGTGGACGATTTACACTCCATGGGAGCAGGGGAGCTGCTCAACTCCATGTTTGAATTTAGCGAGAAGCTGAATGCCCTCCAACTCAGTGACGAAGAGATGAGTTTGTTTACAGCAGTTGTCCTCGTCTCTGCAGGTGAGGAAGCTGGTTCAGAATGGTGCCATGTCTAGCATACAGTGACCGGCTAGGCAGCACACGGCAGCCGACAGGGCCCCAGCAGGTGTTCCTGGGAGAAGGCCTTAATCAAGAAGATGCTAAACTGCATGCACTTGTATCAGTTTTTTCATCATGTCAGTATTAAGGTCAAAATAAAAGAATGTAATAAAAGAATGTTGAGATCTGCACCTCACATTTACTGTCTTGTTGCAAGTCAGCTTCTTTATTTCATGAGTTTATTTTTTGAAACGTAGTGTATCTCTAGGCACATAGGTGGTTCTAAATTGCTTGTGTCCTGTATCGGAGCACCTAGATATGAGTCTTGGCTCTGCTTCTGATCCCGCCTTCCTGCTGGTACACTTTTTGGGAGGTGATGGCTCAGCTAGTAACCTGTGTGGGAAAGCCAGAGTGCATTCCAAGCTCCTGGCAGTGTTGGTCTGACCTGAGTCTGTCGCAGGCATTTGAGGAGTGAGGCAGTGGATGGAGACTTTCTGTTTGTCTCTTTCTCTCTCTCAGATAACACAATTTAATACATTAAAGTATTTCTATTCTGTTATATGACTGACTGTTTCTCATGCTTCATATATCAGTTGATTCTTGAAACTGAAAAGTCAGAACCCAGGGGAGCCAGTATTGTGTCCCAGCAGGTGGAGTCACTGGTTGTGATGCTGGCATCCCGTATCAGAGCTCCGCAGCTGCTGTGCGTCTGCTCCCGCTTCCTGCTGATGCTCTCGGCAAGGCAGCAGGTAGTGGTGCAAGTGTTTAGGGTGGAGTTCCTGGCTGCTCCTGTTTTGGCATGGCCCATCCCTGGCTATTGTAGTCACAGTGGGCGAAAGATCTGTCTCTGCCCTCCTGCCTTTCAAATCAATTAATCTTTTAAAAAGTTAACAAGTGGGGTTGACATACTAGAGCGGGTCCTGCAAGGCTCTGCAGCCTGAAGAGGGAGCGTTCCAGCTGCAGGCAGCAGAGGGATCGCTTCTATTTTCTGTCAATTGGTTAGAATGAAGCAACATTGTAAATTGGTTTTATCTTTTAAATGAATTTTTGTTTTCCTTAGAAACTGACATTTGCCCTCAGTACTATGTATTTATTTTCTGCCTTTAAAGGAGAGGTTGTTTAGCAGATGTCACTTAGTTTCTGCATTTCATTATCCTTGCAGCAGGCCTCTGAAGTGAGCTACATGGGAGCCATTTTCAGTTACAGAAGGCAGAGGGCTGAGTAACTTCCTCAATGCTGCATTTTGAGTCATTGGTTAAGTAGGTCCCCTTAGGGTGGCTTCAAAGCCTTTCCACTGTACTACTTGGTTGTTTTTTTCCCCCACTATTATTTATTTATTCCAGTTCTGCCACGCCTTGGTGACAAGTGGCATCCACCACAGCCCCACTGTGGGCTGGTCCTTCATGCAGCTGTGGCTGGGAGCTGGCTGCCCCCTGGGGTCTCCTCAGGCTGGGGAACCAGGGGCCGCGCACTCCTGCCCCAGGCCAGCTGCCCTCCTGTAGTCACGGAGTACACAAGTCAGGTCCTCACCCGAGGGGGACGCCTAGGAGCGCTTCCACTTGGACACTGGACTCCCATAGCGTCCCGGGGGGCACAGTGAACACTCCTGGCCGGGTCAGCGCGGCTGGAGAGCAGGGGACCACGCGTCCATCACCGCACGCCGCCATGGCCGTCCGAAAGCTCCACTGTACTACTTGTTAACAGAATAGCTGTAGCTGCTAAGGGAGAGCGAAATGTCAACATGATATTTGCCTGTGAGATTGGAAGATTCCCGATGCCACGGAGGGGGACTTACAACGGGGAGGGAAGTTGTTTTTTCTGGGCCGTAGAGTGGCAGCAGTTGCCCACAGTAGGCGTAGAGACTGGAGTGTAGGCGTGAGGCAAAGCTCGTCTTGATAAAAGGTTGCACTTGTCTTCCTAGAGGTTTCGGCTTCCACCTGTGGGAAGTGGGAAGCCTTGGTGCAGAGTGCGGACTTGGGAGCCGGTGAAGGGAGTGGAAGCTATGATTAACAAATGCAAGCGGTAGTGTAGTCCTTAGCGCACCATCTAGAAGGTGAATTTCCATCGCAGTCTGTGCATTCAAATGTTTCAGGATCCAGAGATTGTTCTTGATGATCCAGGGCTTTGTAATTGAGTTTTTGACCGTGAAGCCGTAACAACCCTGGATGTAGAAATTGAACCATTAGCAAAATGTAGTGCAGTTGTATTTGTAGGTATCCATGTTTCCCGAAGCTCTGAGTTGTGTAAGGAAGTCTAGGTCGTCGTCTCAACATACTCACTGAGGGTCCAACGACTGATGCTCTCAGTTCCTCCGAGATAGCCTGTGCTGCTCCGCATTTGGGTCACTCTGTGGGCGTCACTGTCAGCCTCCGATGTTGGAGTTTCACAGTACTGTTGGTAACAGTCCAGATGGAAGCACCTGAAAGGAAGGGATTTTGGCTGATTTTATTCATAGCCAATTCCTAACATGTAGAAGCATTATTGAAAGATTCAAGTGTTTTTACAGAAGTAATCCTGGAGACTGACCAAAGTTAAATGAGGGAACAGGTCCTTTGTCTAAGTTTTGTCTGAAAAAGCATGACCGTTGAGTTGGTTGTCAACATCCAGGTTTATTTTTTCCTGTGTAAAATTAGCACAGTTTTAATAATTCATGTTTTTGTTAAATATAAAAAAAAGCTTACTTTTATCTATTTTGCCTGCAGCTACTCATGCTTTTGCCTTCAGTTTTAGTCCTTGTTTTAAGTGCACTGCAAATAGGCTTTTGCAGCTTTCAGTCCTAATGAGGATGTCTTCAGCATCCCTGTAATCAGCCGCGGGATAGGAACGGCCAGAAGTTTGCTTCCTCCCCAAGTCTTTCTGGTTGATGACAGCCTCCCTAAACCTGGGCCTGAGTATTTCTTGTGTGCTACTGCCGCCTGTGGTCAAGGGAGGAAGAGAGCCTTGCTGGTGAAGCCCATGGGCACGCCGTAGCAGGGGCGGGGACTGGTGTGGAGAAGCCCACCTAAGGCGTTTGCTAAATCACCAGGATCTTTTTTTTATTGGAAAGTCAGATATACGGAGAGGAGGAGAGACAGAGGAAGATCCTTTGTCTGATGATTCACCTCCCAAGTGACTGCAATAGCTGAGCCGATCTGAAGCCGGGAGCCGGGAGCTCTTCTTCCAGATCTCCCATGCAGGTGGAGGATCCCAAGGCTTTGGGTGGTTCCCAACTGCTTTCCCAGGCCACAATCAGGGAGCTGGATGAGAAGCAGGGCCACTGGGATTAGAACCGTGCAAGGCGAGGACTTTAACCACTATGCTATTGCGCTAGACCCAATCACCAAGATGTTAAATGCAGTATACCAAATGGAAATGGAAGCAGGGTAACAAAACTGGTAGACGTGACATAGTGTGTTACTTATTACCATCTAACAAAGCACTCCAAAACTTAGTGGCTGAATAATGTCAACATTATCTCACAGGTTTCGAAGGTTGGGAAACTGGGGGGGTGTAGTTATGCACCTGTGGTGCAGGGTTTTCTAGAAGGTTCCAGGTGGGTTGTGGGCAGGGCTGAGACCTCAGGCAAAGGCTGGGATAGGGCAGGGAGGATCTGCTTGCAGGCACAGTTGGTTATTGGCAGGGTTCACTTCCTTACCAGGTGTTGGACCCTTGCTGGCTGTTGGGCGGAGATCAAGTTGAGTTACTTACCATGTGGGCTTCTCCGTAGGGCAGCTGCCAACATGGCTGCTGACTTTAATCTTACAGTGAGTACCTAGGGTGAGAGCCTCAGCTTTTTGTTAAAACATTAGAAAGTATTTGGTTAAAAAAAGAAGTTAAAAACATTTTTAGAATAATTTACATATTTCCATTTTATTTGAAAGGTAGATTGGCTCCCCAACTCCATTGCCCCCAAACAGTCGGAGTTGGGCCAGGTCAAAGCCAGGAGCCTTGAATGCCATCCACATCTCCCACATGGTGTGGCAGGGACCCAAGTACTTGATCCATCACCCCCAGCCTCTGGGGTGTGCGGTAGCTGGAAACTGGAACGGAAGCCCAGGAGCTGGGGTTTGAATCTGATACTTCGATATGTAATGCAGGTGTCTTAGGTGGCAACTCAACCATGCCCCCAAATGTCTGTGCCCTTTGGTGACCTGATTCCAGAAGTGACGTTCTGTCACTTTTTCTGTGTTTTCTTCCTTAGATGTGACTTGGGATTATACAAGGGTGTGGATATCAGGATGAGGGGCTCATCAGAGGCCATTTGAAAGATTTCTTGTCACACACAAGAGCATTGCAAATGAGAAAGTATTCCATGTGTAGAAAGAATACATTTCTATGCTACATGATTCTCTGCCAGTTGAAGTCAGAATGTATTTTTTTAAATAAAAGAATTAGAATCTATAGGATTTTGTGAACAAAAATTCCTATATACGTTACAACAAATAGCTAGACAATTTGCTATTGGGATTTAAACTCTTTCAATTGGCCTTTGCCCTTGTTCCAATTATAGGACTTTGTTTTGAATTTATTAACTAGATTGATGAGCAAGTATTGTACTTCGTGCTAATAATTTGTGCTCTGCTTAATTCTCTTGCTTACTTCCCCTTAGATCGATCTGGAATAGAAAACGCCAACTCTGTGGAGGCTTTGCAGGAGACCCTTATCCGTGCACTAAGGACCTTAATAATGAAAAACCATCCAAATGAGGCCTCTATTTTTACAAAGCTACTTCTCAAGTTGCCAGATCTTCGATCTTTAAACAACATGCATTCTGAGGAGCTGCTGGCCTTTAAAGTGCACCCTTAAGGCCTTTGTGCATCGAAACATGAGCTGAAGCTGACTGTGCATTTGTGCCACAGTGCTTATTTCTGTGTGTGTACCGTTCGTGGAGATGATGCAGGGTTGTAGGCTGCCTTGTCAGATTGCAGCGGCTATTGGATTGAGAACTCTTCAGCCATGACTTGGCACCGACCACATCTCCCCGATAGACCAATCAGCTGTGTTGCACTTCAACTGGAGAAGTTACACTGAATTATACTCACATTGAATGTTTAGACTTTCATCTGCCAAAACCAAAAACCATTTTGATCTCCCTGTGGTGTAACTACATAACGCACAATCATAGGTCCATGAGGACTTAGACCTTATTTCTTTGTAGAAGTTCTGTTTGAGTGGTGGCTGACTTGGTATTACCCCGAGACCATTTGCTCTGGTAATTAGAGACCCTGGGGGGTAGGAGATCCACGTGTCTGTGTTTTGGTTTGCCACTGGTAACATTTGGCCCCTGACAGGTTACTGGGTTGTGGAAAATGAAAAGTCACAGTGTCCCTGATTGCCCTGGGTCACACACTAAACCATATTTATAAAGCATACTTACCTCTTGGGAGATAGGCACTATGTAAATAAGGTGAAATTTTTGTTATAATTATTCATAATTTTTTTCTAATTTCTAAGCATTTCTGGGGAATCATTTCACAGTTCACACCAGTCTATTATTCAGGGTTCCTGCATATGTGTGGGTATCCTGTTGATACACACATATTCAAAGTTTATGAGTACATCAAGTATGTAGTATTTGTACATAATATGTATGTGAATATAGCTATACATAAATATATGTTCTTCACAATATTTTAAACTGTGAAGAACTCTATCATAAGACAAACTTAAAGCGAGAGGTGTCAGGAGACCAAGTTAGGTGCATTTTACTTATTGATGATGACAAAACCATTGCGTTAAAATGTTTGGACGGTAGGATATTGAGTTTGTACTGTTTTTGTTTACTTAAGCAACAGTTAATGTAAAAGTGCAGCACGCCGTTGAGTCCAGTTTCAAGTGCGTGTCTCAGTTCCGCGTGGGTGCCATCGTTGGTTCAAGGTACTAGTCATTTACAGGTTCCTTCAGATTCTTACGTCGCTGCCCCTTACGCGGATGCTGCAGCTTCACGATGACCTGATTCTTTCTGGAAAACTGATGTTTAAGGAACCTGTTTATTGTATCGTGTGTGTGCGTGTGTGTGTGCGTGTGTGTGTGCGTGTGTGTGTGCCTGTGTGTTCTGAGTCAATTTTTTTTTTTTGGTTGTTGCTTTGTTTGTTTCTAAGTAACACCACAGGGATTTTGTCAAATTGGATTTAATGTATAATTTGAAAAATCATTTAGCTTGTGACCTCCAGGCTTAGGTGTGGCATAGTTGGAGACATTTCATCCATATTGCTTAGAGGGCTCAGTCTGTCTACAGCAGTAGGAGAAATAGCCAAAATTGAGGAGTTTATGTATGTTTTTCTGTTCCCCTAGAAAATAGCAATTATTTTATTTTGCATAAAGATTGCCTTCTATATAGTACTTAGATTGTATTAAATGGTGAAAGAACAGCCCACTTTACCAAGCCTGTGACGCGAGAGCAGAATGCCTTATCTTGTAATCTTGTTTAACTTGTTGCCACTGGGACTTGAATTTCTGTGGCACTAGTTAAGTAAGTTAAAAAGTTAAACCCTCTCATTATTAAAGAGGAAAGGCAATGGTGACGTCTATAATACAATGAAAACATAATTGCAATTTACCTTACGTAGGTATGACTTTCATGGGATATACAGTATAGTTTTTGTGAATTCTTTACATGATAGCATTATCTTTTTATATTTTTTTTCCTAAGATAACCAAATGCATAGTTTTCTTCTGTAGGGGATAGAAACAGCTTTCTGAAGTAATACTGAAAACCTCAAAGACCATATTCTTAATTTTTGCCTTTTGCATAACATGTATCTTTATAACATGTATCTTTAAAACAATTAAGTCTTCAGAAACGTGTAACCAGAACTATGATAGAATCGCTTATGAAACTTTAGTTAGATTCAATATAAAATACATGTATACATCTATATATAGGTATATAGAGTCACATTTTGTCTTGTAAAATTTCATTTGAATATTCTTCCCTTAGGTAATGGGAGACAAAATGAATGGTTCATATGCCACTTGTAGCATTTCTGTATTTGCAGATAGCCCATTATGAAACTCCTAATTCTAAAATTAAACCAGCAGCCTATTGAAGCACATTGTTGACTGAGTCTGGTTATAAACCTGTCGGATGCAGAGGAGATGAGCAGTTGGGGACAGTGTTGATCGATGAATCCTGTACTGTATGAATTCCGTGATGCTTTAACTCTGATTTTATACTTCCAAGTTGAAATACGGGCATTATGTTAGCAAACTTAAGGGCATTATGTGAGCAAGCTGAAACTGTTGTTCTCTTCCCCCTGTGTTTTCAGTGTGTCTCTACATGGTCTGAGAGAGGATGTAAGCTGATAGAGCTGAGGGGAAGACGCGCCCCGTGGGGTGAACTCTGCCTGGAGGTGGTGATTCTGTTGCACACTGCGAAGCGAGGAGGGAATGTCAGTGCAGAACATGTGTGCTTTCATATCTGTATTTCAAAAAATCACCATTGTAACTTGATAAGAGATGATTTATTTTATGTAAACAGCATTGCAAAGCAACGTGTAGAAGCTCGGCTAGACTTACTGTGCACGAGAGTAAACACCTATCCGAAATATTCTTGTTTTTCCAATATAAAGTTTGCTGAATGTACAAGAAGAGTTTATCACTTAGGATATAGAATTTTTTTAGGGGTTGGGGGGAGGGCTCTGTGAGAAAAACTGTTGCCTAGAAACAAAGCTTGTCTTGATTTGATCCAAAACATCAAACTTGAATCTATTCTTGCATTAACATGGAAAGATAAATGGCTATTGCTTTAAAAAAAAAAAAGGCTAGAAATAGATTGTTAATAGGTCCTGAGTTAAGTTTATTTTCTACAGACTGTAAATGTTGAGGACTTGGACAATATCTTCTTGTTTCCAAGAAATAACCTGTACACAGGGGGCAAGTATAATAAATACTATTTCTAACCACGTATGGTGTCTGTCCACCGTGATGTTCTTGTAAAAACCTTTGGTAATTTACTGCAAGTAGCCTTTCCCTTGAGCTTAGCAAGATCTCTTACATACATCTCTTATCAGGACACAGAAATGTGTACATGCAGAGCTTTTAGAAAAGATTTTAGAGTGTGTTGAGACTCTGCCAAGCACTCTGTCCTCCATTGTACCACCTGAATGATGGTATGTGGTAGGTGATGAGGGGGCACCGGGGGGGGGGCAGCCTTGGCCATGAGTCGGGCACGGGGCTCAGTAAGGCTGCTTCCTTCACCCTGCTCCAGCTGTGCCCAGGCTGCCACAGTTACTGTAGTGACTTAGACCTGTACCACCTGCCGTGCTGCCCTAGTTTGTGCATATTCATTAACATCGGATGGGAGCAATGGGCTCTTGGAGCAAATATCTATGGACGTGTGGGGTGAAACGAGGCTACTGGGATATCCTGATGCAATTCTGTTCTCTCTTGTGCACGGTGCACCCACTGAGGAAATGTTGGTTGGAATGCCGGTTGCCCCACAACTTCCTCCACAAACCTCTCCTTTTGATTCTGTCCTCAGTGCATGTTGGGGCCCCTGGGAAAGCAGGCTTTCAGAGAAGAAGGTCTCGTTAGCTTTGTACTGACTTCGTGTGTTGACCAGACTCAACGAATTGTTGCACACTTTTAAAATTTTATTCTTTTTGCTCTTTTTTTTTTTTGGGTGGGGGGGCAGTCCAATAGGATCTGGTTTTAGTTTTTACACTCACCAGGGCCTGTAGTGAACTCTGAGTTAGCACATCTGGCTGAATGTTTCGAAACAGGTCTGGTGTGTGTCTAAATTGGCACATCAGGGTTGGTCTTCACTCTGCAAGAATTGGGTGCTGCGTGATTTCCAGGTGCCAGTGCATTATGAGGGTACTGGATGGCACAGACATCCAAGCTGCAGGGTGGGCTGGAGAGAGGCGCAGCCCTTCTCCCAAGACTGAACTCCATGGAGTATCCGCAGAAGGTAATGTGCCCTCCGAAGCAGCACATCCCACACATGGAAGTTACTGAATGGGTGGAGGGTTGGGTGTTTCTAAGACTCCTTCCGAATCCACAGGTGTGTATGGTGTCCTTGGCGTCTTGGCGTGGTTTCTCTTGCTGCAGTCTGTGGAGTGGAGTCAGATCTTCCATAGCGTTCGAGGGATAATTTGTCCTTCGCGTTGTCTTTTCCTCTGAAGGGATGGTCTTTAACCTCCAACATGTTCTGAGATACTGGGGTTAGGATTTCCACTGACTAGTCTGGGAGGCCACAATTGCACTACTGCAGTGGGGGATCCTGGCCGAAGAATGACTCAAGGTCTGTCTCAACACCAGTCCCCACTGGCGAGCAGGGGAGAAGAGACCTCCTTGTCTTCATAGCTTTAGTCTCTCTCTCTCTCTTTTTAAAGATTTATTTATTTTTATTGGAAAAGCAGATATACAGAGAGGAGGGGAGACAGAAAGATCTTGCGTCCAATGGTTCACTCCCCAAGTGACCGCTACGGCTGGAGCTGAGCCAATCTGAAGCTGGAGCCTGGAGCCTCTTCCAGGTCTCCCATGCGGGTGCAGGGCCCCAAGGCTTTGGACTGTCCTCGACTGCTTTCCCAGGCCACAAGCAGGGAGCTGGATGGGAAGTGGAGCTGCTGGGATTACAACCGGTTCCCATTTGGGATCCCGGCAAGATCAAGGCGAGGACTTTAGCTGCTATGCTGTCGCACCAGGCCTGCTTTCGTGTCTGTTAAGACTCTTGCTCAATACATTTTACTGAAATTGATGATGGAAGAACTTATGAATATCTTACTGTAGATATACATATATATTAAAAGCATCTATTTAGAAGTTACAATGACAGAGGAGAGATGAGATCTTTGATTTGCTAGTTCAGTCTCCAAATGGCTACAATGATTAAAGCTAGGCTATAATGAAGCCAGGAGCCTGGAGCTCCATTTGGGTCTGTAGCATGCATGCAGGTGCCCAAGCACCTGGGCCATCCTTTGCTGCTTTCCCAAGGGTATTAGCAGGGAGCTGAACCGGAAGTGAAGCAGCTGGGAATCAAACTGGTACTCATGTGGGATGCTAGCATTCCAGGCACAGCTGCACCCCAACAGGAATCCCTAGAGAAGTCATTAAAAAATTTGTGTGTGTGTGTTAATGGGTCTGGTGTGGTAGCCTAGTGGCTTGCATGCACTGGGAATCCATAGGGGTGCCCACTCATGTCCTGGCTGCTCCACTTCTCGTGCAGCTCCCTGCTTGTGGCCTGGGAAAGCAGTCAAGGACCGCCCAAAGCCTTGGGACCCTGCACCTGCTTGGGAGACCTGAAAGAAGCTCCTGGTTTTGGATTGGTTCAACTCTGGCCGTCGCGGCTACTTGGGAGTGAAGCAGCAGATGGATCTTTCTCTCTGTAAACCTGTTTTTCCAATAGAAATAAATAAATCTTTTGAAATTATTTTATTTTTAAAGTTGTGTGTGTGTGTGTGTGTGTGTGTGTGTGTGTGTGTGTGTGTGTAAGGAACGCATACCCAGACTCACTGTGGTCCTGGCCCTTGAGAAGTGGATCTGGCATAGGATGCTGCCCATCTCCTGTTGGGACAGATTTACGAACCACTTGCTCCTAGCTGCTTTCCTGCGCTGTGTGTGGATGGTGGGACAATTCTTCCAGGGCCACAGAACTACCTCACCAGTCTGTGAATTGCAAAACTCTGTGAAGGGCCAAAAAAAAAAAAAAAAAAAAAAAGCAAACTCTAAAGTTTTAGCCTCAGAACAATTGGTCCTTGAAATAATTCTTGCAAACGAGGATTGGAGGGCTGCGTGATGTAAAGTGCTGTTATGAATGGATCATGAGTCCATGCAATAGTACGTGGATTTCATGTGTTGCTTAGCCTGCCATTGGGTTTAGAGATGGAGGACAAAATCCTTAGGAAAATATTTTGGGTTTTACAAATGTATGCGATGAGTTAAAAGGCATTTCGAAGTTCCAACCTTTGCAGGCACTCAATAAGCACAAACTCCTGTCATTTATCTATTTCCAGTTATGCCTCCTAACACCGATCCTGAGAGCTGATGTTACCTGCATATTGCAGGATACTAAATCCCTCTTTCTGGGAGGGAGAATCTAAGATGAATATAGGAGAGCTGATGGTTTTCTTGGATTATGAATGCAATCATAGATGATGCATAGGTAGGGAGATCATTAAAGCTTTTATGGATTTGTTTTTGTTTCATTTACAAATGAGAGAGAGATAGAGAGAGGGAGAAAGAGAGAGAGGGAGAGAAAGAGAACTGATGATTTCTTTTCCAAATTCCTGCAACATCTAGAGCCAGCGCAGGTTTGAAATCAGGAGCTGGCAGCTCCATCCAGGACTCCCAGCTGGGTGACTAGACCCAGCTGCTGGAGGGATCGCTCACAGCCTCTCGGGGTATGCGTGAGCAGGAGTCTGGAAGGGAAGTAGAGCAGCCAGGACACGAGCAGGCGCCCGTATGGAATCCTGGTGCATGCAAGGCGAGGACTTTAGCTACTAGGCTACTGTGCCAGACCCTTTTCCAGATCACTTTATTACAACTTTTAGAGGCCGGGATTGCCTTTTTTACAATGCAAAGTCATGCACAAACTCATGCTTTAAATGCTTCTTCGTTTATGAGGGGGTGTGAATTTTGTTTTGGATGTTTATGGGCTATTATAACCCATTTCACATACCTGAAGGGCCCTTGGGTGGTGCACTGTAGGAAAGATATCAGACATTGTAGATCAAAGCTATAAAACTCGGAAAGCTGCCTTTAGTACAGGCACACCCTGGGTTCACTTCCAGACTTCTGCAATAAAGCAAGTGTTGCAATAAAGTGCATCATGGGGATTTTATTCCTCCAGCACACAGAAAAGTTATTTGTTTTACAACAATCTATTCAGTGTGTAACACTATTATATCTAAAACAATAACGCAGAGCTCTCAGTTTAAACACACTCAGTTTTTAGGGCAGGTGTTTGGTGCAGTACCACTTATGATGCCTCATCCCACATCAGAGGGCCTGGGGCTGCTAACACCCTGCCAACGTGCACCTGGCATGTAGCAGGTGATGGTTCCAATACTGAGGTCCCTGCCATCCATGTGGGAGACCCAGTTTGGGTTTGGAGCTCTTGACTTCAGCTCCCCCAGCCTCCGCTGCTGTGGGCATTTGGGGAGTAAACCAGTGACTTGAAATATGGTTGTCTATCTGTGCCTTTAGAATAAAACAAAACTTAAAAAATATGTCTAGGGTCTAGTGGCTTAAGCCCTTGCCTTGCACGCGCTGGGATCCCATATGGGTGCTGGTTCGTATCCCGGCTGCTCTGCTTCCCATCCAGCTCCCTGATTGTGACCTGGGAAGCAGTCAAGGACGGCCCAAAGCCTTGGGACGTGGGAGACCCAGAAGAGTTCCTGGCTCCTGGCTTTGGATCGGCTCAGCTCTGGCTGTTGTGGCCACTTAGGGAGGGAACCAGCAGACGGAAGATCTCCCTTTCTGTCTTTCGTCCTCTCTATAAATCTGCCTTTCCAATTAAAATAAATAAATCTTTTTTAAAAAAATAAAAAAATGTGTCTAAAATTGCCCTGTGTTGGTGAGCCTTTGCAGAGTGGAGCACAGCCCATGTGTGATGTGTGCCATGCCAGGGCAGGTGCCACACCAGGGCAGATCCCAAGTGGAGTTTTCACACAATCTTCATGTCTGCATGCCCAAGACAACGGGATCCCTCATCGGGGAAGTGCCAGCCGCCAGAAGGAGGGAGGCGCTAGTCCCGGCTCTGGGGTGAGAAGTCAGCTTGCACGTTGGCTTGTGATAGCACTTAGTGGTATCCCCCTGGTGCCCAGACCCCAAATCCCGACTCCCCGGCCAAGGTCGAGGACGGCTATCCCCCGCGGATCCAGCAGGCGGCGCTGCAGCCCCAGGGATCGCATCGCAAGTTCCACCTGCGATGGGGAAACAAGGACGCTGGTTCGTGTTT